AAAATCCTTCTTGCAGACTATGGGAATGGCAGTGATGTTGGATGTAATAATCAACTATGTCCGTTCATTGCAAAATCAAATTGATGTAAGATTTATAGACTTACTATGATATTATTACATATTGCTACACGAAGTCTAGAATAATAGTTAATGACCAACTTATCTCTAATATACTTTTGTTTTTCGTTGAATTTCTGTTTTAAGTTTCTTTCAATGAAACTATCAGCAGCAAGTTTGTTTTATGACTTCAACTCATCAGAGATGGATGATATGGACTCAATGCAGGTACACCTTTTTTCGTTCCCTCCACTGTTCTTTTTTATAGGTAGAACTACTGAAAATCAAGGCACCCCTCTCTGTGAAATGAGAAAAAGTTTATCAAGACAGGTATCATAGTCTCATTAGTAGTTGATATATAAGCATACCTAGGGGTGGCAAATGGACAGGTCGATCGGATATGAGTATGTCGAAAACGAATAATGCAAAAACAGATAAATTATTTGACCTGACCTATTTTTGATATGGATAGAAAATAAATTAACCGGCGGATAATATGAATATTGATCTATATTATCCATGGCTTCTTGAATATAATCACTTGTGGGAGAATTCCTAATCTTCTAAACTTAAGGAACCTCCAATTTAAGTCTTTGTAAATATAAAAGTTAAACCCATAGGTTATCCATTTTTTAAGTGAGTAATATGGATTATCCATATTGGACTCATTTTTAAAAATTCATTATCCAACCTATTTTTTACCGGATAATATCAATGGATAATTTTTTAAAAAATTCATTTTGCCACCGCTAAGTTATATTAGAAGGTCAAATAAATTGTAAGAGGCTGGAATTACCTTGAAATTTAAGCTACTTTACCTAATGCATATACAATACAATACACACACTTATTTATTGTAGAATCTTTTGACATTTTCCATCAAATTGATGCCTGTGTTGACATTAATTAGAAATGAAATTTGTACGTAGGGAACAAACGGGTATGCAGCTCAAGGAATGGGGAAGATTGTTGGTGAAGGGTATGGAGTATTTCCTCCTCAGTTTCAAACATCTTGGCCTCTTTGACCTACTAATGTACATCATGCTTTAAAATCTGCCTAAGAAAATTAATATACGCACTTGACACCATCCCAATAATATGTAGCAGATAATTAATTAAGTGTATTTTGAACTTCCTTATTGGTAAACCCTTAATTTGTTTTCATTTCAACAATCTTTTGTTCTTTTTCACTTTTTGTATTCTAAGTAATTATTCCAAAAAATGGTGGTGTTATGAAGAAAATCCATTTACGCTGTTAAAATTAGAGGATGAGCTTTGAGTATACTTTACCTTATGTATAATATATCTATAATCCATGTATAATATCTGTTTAATCGTCTATAATCAGTATATAATCTATGTATACCAACTAGGAAAAGTAAACACTAAATCCGACCGGCTATTTATGTAAAAATCCCTTTATGTTTTTGCCTTTGAATATTTCTCTAAACTATCATTTATTTCTTTTTAAACGTTACTCCACTAATTGGACCAGTTAGGATAAAGTTAGAAAAAAGTTGCTTTATATGGTTCTAATGAACCAATTAAATACTTCCAGATTTTTGAAGCATCTAATATTTTGAAACAAATTCATATTGCGAGGAAGACTAATATTTGAAAGTGGAGGGGTATTAGCTAAATACAGTGTATCAGTTAATGAAGTAGAATTGTCTGTATATTTCTAGATTTCAAAAATTAAGTATCAATATAATGTGTACCCTACAAATAAAATTGGGTTATATGAATGTCCAAAGGCTAGGATCCTTCAACAGCTTCAGTACAATGTCTAAAGCAAGATTGAGGAATGTCAGATCCCATCCAAATAATAAAAAAAAAAGAATGAACCATCACAGTCCTGGTCTCATTAGAAATCGTGACATATGAGAATGAAAGAAAGTTATATATATGAATCAAAACAAACTTAATCATGTATATCTAGAGGTCCCTCAAATTGTATCTTTCGGAACATCTGTCTTTAATCAGATTTCTTGGATTCGATCCCTAGGTATACAATCTTCTTTAATAGGAAGCGTTTAACCCTTAAAGTAGGATTTTCTGGCACGAATCCGGATTAGTCGGATCCATAAATAAATACAGGATATATGGTGGAAAACCACAAAAAAGACCTAGTGACCCTTAGTCTAATGATGGGATGCTATTCAAGAAAATTCAATCATTCTATGATTGGGGTGAGAGATGAAATAATTGGAAGTAGACAGCTTAACTGATTGATTCATTTAGCCAAATTCCATTCAATAATGCTTCAAAAAGTGAAGTATTATGACTGTTGATTATGTCATATTCTTTTGTAGTAACTTAAAAAAACTTTAGCTGGGTACGAGATGCACATCATGCAGTAAGCCCCATCTCGTCTTGGATCACAAAAAAGAAATTAAAAAGAAAAAGAAAGATATGCAAAAAGCAAAAGAAGAAGAAAAGGAAATGGAGAGGTGAACACTGAGCACAAGTGTTTGAACGAATTGCAATCCCTTGAGAAGCCTATAGCATTAAGAAACAAAAAATTATTTGGTAGACCTTAATTATTTGTCAGAATCTAATGGACCTTAAAAAAAATTTGGGTCGAAGACTCTAATTCATGACTAGGGTGGCAATGGGGTAGGAGGGATGACACTTCACACGGTTGCAGGGGGGCAATGAGATTGAAACATGGCAGAATATAAGTGAGAGAAAATATGAATGAAAAATATTTAATTAGGTTAATTGAATATAGAAGAAAGATCGAGTTAACCTGGCAAATGGGGACAGATTGTAAACATAGAGAAAAAGGTGAATAAAAAATATTTAATTTATTAATGAGTATAAGAAATTTTACTCTAACCATGGACGGTTTTTAGTGGGAAAAAAGTTAAAGATGTGAACCAAACCAGGTGACACTGGGCAAGGAAAGCACGGGCCAGTCAATCCAGATTTGGATTGTGTAGAGGCCATAAAGGGGAAGCGCGTCTCACTAAAAAATTTTCATTTTTAAAATTCAAATTCGAAAACTCTAGCTAAGGGAGGTGATTACGTTCAACTTTAATCTTAAAAAAAATAAGTGGTCGCTGCAAATATAATCCGATCTTAGACTTCAGAATCGAATCACACGGAGAACTAAGGTTTAGCTACAACTGTTCACTATCTCTAAGAAGACAAGTTCGAACAATTCCTAAGTTATATATATATAGATTATTTTTTCTAACTTATTAACTAATAAATAAAAGTAGTAAGTTAACAACTAGAGATACTAAGGGTTGGAGACAAGATTAAAGAGGCCTAGAGTTATGATTTCACCAATCGTCGGAATCATTCATGCCACGTCTCCTATAATTTTGCCTAAATATTCTCTACTAATCGTGAGTGTTCACGGCCAATTTTGACCCTCCTTTTAAAAATTAATTTATTTATACTTAATAATTTATAATAATTATTTTTAAAGTATTTTCAAGTAAGAAATACCTATTTTTACAAATTAATAAAGTGATAGTTTTGAAATTAATCGTGTAGTATTAACACTATGTAATTACAGATATAATTACTATTTTCTAGATTATTAAAATAATTCTTATATATACATTACATAGGTTCTATAATTAATTTGATAAATTACTCTTAAATTTCCAGTTAATTAGGTCATTATGTTGGTATTTCGAATTAGTGTTGCAATTTCGAAAAAATAAAGTGTTTTATAAATAGTTAATTAAAATAACAAGTAGTATATATAATAATTGTAATTTTTCTGCATTTATTGAAATTTTTTAAGTTTATATAAATTAAATTCAAAAGGGAATTAAAAGACAAAGGCTACAATTGCAATTTCTCACATCAAAGACAAAATGATCATTTTTTAAATTATTCTTACTCAATTATTCAAGCCCACACGTAATTGCACCCAGTCCAAACAACCCTATCTCTCACTGTGGCGATCCAAGCCATCCTATTTGCACCAATCACGTCACGCCGCATCACTCTCTAATCCCACTCACAAAATGAACACAAGCAATCCTGACCGTCTATTCACACCATCAACGGACCAGATTTAATCCTTCTTTTCTCATTATTTTAAACCAACACACGATTTTATCTTAACTATTGGATTACAAGGATCCAACGGTCTCCGTTTTTTCTTATTAAAACCCATTAAGTCCCTAAATATCAGGACGGTTGATCTAAAAGATTAACAGCCCAGATCCCTTTTTCCAAACTTTAACCTCAGAGACCGACCCCTATATCTCAAACCCTAAAACATTTTCCCCCTACTTTCCCAAAATGCTCTCGACTCTCCTCCTGCCCTAACTCATCAGTCTCTAAGACCTTGCACAAAATCATGCAAGGTCATTTCAATCAAAGCCTGAAACGCCTATGTGTCCCCTACTATCCGCGAATCTTGCTATTCTTTCCCATTTTTGCCGATAGAATTCAAAATCCAAATCAAACTTGACCCCAAATTGTGTTACTAAGCTTGCTTGTTCTTTCCTCTGTGTTTTCAAATCCATGGCATGCATGGTTGAATGTCTTCAGCACCATCAACATTATTCTTGTCCAGAGGTCAAACGCATTAACCTCCGGACATTAGGATTTGTCCATTGGTTCTTTTCCTTCAACGGTTGATTCCTCCTCTCAGGTAAACTCAATATTGTTTTTCTCTTCTGTTTCTTCTGATCTTACTCAATCTCGCTATCATCACCCACCATGCATCACTCTCCACTACTGATTTGAATTTATGAAGCCCTAAGAGCCTTCAATGGCACTATAAATAGAGCCTTTAATTCTCTTACCAAACACACGAAAACACACACACACCTAACTCTGAAGAACAACAACTACATTATCCTCTAAGTGTAATTCTAATATTTTTGAAACCTAGGGTTTCTTACTGAATCTTGTTCTTTATTTCTGAGTACTATTGCTGCTTCGAGCTTGAAGCTTTGAGGTCTTAAGCATTAAGAGAGATCCTCATTTGGTCTGCTACCCTAAAAAAGGTCAGTATATTCCTCATTTCTCATTTCTTGCTCATCTTCTTTGAATGTTATAAAGATGCTAGTTATCTTCTGAGAATTATAGTTGTTTCTAATGTTTGCAACTAGTATAGAAATGCTTATGTGTTTCTTATAATAGTAAATTGTCTACTTTTGATCATTTGTCATGCCTCTTGAATCTTTAATTAATGATTAATCAAGCTGTTACATGGTTCTTGATGATTTTCATTTCTGAATTCCAACAATCTACATGTTTAAGCTATAACATGCTTTGAGTGACTGCTCATGTCTTACTTGAATTTTATAATCTTTCATTGACGATTCTACTTTGATCTTCACCTCTGCCTATTATTTTTCTTGTATTCTGTTTGTCATGTGATGGAGTCTATAATTTTATAGTCCTACTTGAGATAAACTTGAAGGTTCCTAAGTTCATATTATCTACCATTTAACCTAAGCATGAAAATTTAAGTGTTTATATTCCCTTCTTCTCTATACTTTATCTGTCAACTTTGAAAACAACTTCTGGGTTATCACTATGATATTCTCATGATCTCATCTAATTATTGGTTGCATCTGTTGACCTAGTCTTGTTTGAATTGAACTTTCTTCCTTTTATGAATACAAATAGCTCCACTGTACATATTTTGTCAAGATGGAGTTATCCTTTTCTTCATAGAACAAGTCATGATCCTGTTTTGTTATAAGTAACTGATAATTGTTGTCAAACTGAACTTGGTTGTCTCATGATTAGTTAACACCTTCGGTTAGATGTTTAATTCAAAACTTACTTGGTGTAGTACTTCTCTGTCTTTAATATCTTTAAACTACTATTGGTTTTTGTGAAGTTTACATGCATCTATCATTGAGTTATCTTCCACAAAAGCAGGACTTAGTTATTCTGTTGTAATCAAGTGATAATTTTAAAAAAATCTGAAGCATGACTACTTCACATTTAGATATTAAGCTAGACTATATGTGTGAGTTAAACTTGTTTTGATACAATACTTCCTTTAACTGTAACTCATTCTCTTCATGACATGTTTAACTTGATCCTATAATGTGCAAAGCTACCCTGTCTATATGAAGTCACCACCTCACTTGAAATGTTCATATACATCTGACTGAATACTGTATGCTCCTATTTAATTCCTGATTTCAGGTTTTGTCCTGAACTACCCCGTTCATCTCCTTATTGTCAATCTGAAACTGAACCGGATCCTTGAACCTTGTGAGAAGCCCTTTTATCGATATTGTATAAACAT